AACATGCATTCTCACAGCTTATTTATTTTATAACTGGACATTTGTACCATTTAAACCCCTATGCCTATTTCACCCATCACCTCACTCCCCTCCCTCTGGCAACCATGTTTGTTTTCTGTATTTATGAGCCTGTTTGGTTTTTTTTGTTGTTGTTGTCAATGTTTATTTGTTAGTTTTGTTTTCTAGATCTGACATATATGTGAAATTATATGGCATTTATCTTACTCTGTCTGACTTATTTCACTTAGAATACCCTCTAAGTCCATCCGTGTTGTCACAAATGGCAAGTAATATCCCATTTTGTATATATATATCACAATTTTCTCCATTCATCCATTCACACTTAGGTTGCTTCCATATCTTGGCTATTATAAATAATGGTTCAATAAACATAAATCTTTCACCTCCTTGTTTAAATTTATTCTGAAATATTTTATTCTTTTTAATGCAATTGTAAATGGGATTGCTTTCTTGATTTCTCTTTCTGCTCATTTGTTACTGGTGTACAGAAATGGAACAGATTTTTGTATTTCATTTTGGATCTTGCAACTTTACTGAATTTATTTTATACTTCTAATAATTTTTTACTGAGTCTTTAGGGTTTTGTACATATGGTATCCTATCTATAAATAGTGACAGTTTAACGTTTTCCTTACCAACTTGGATGCCTTTTATTTCTTTTTCTTGTCTGATTGCTGTGGCTAGGACTTCAGTAGTATGTTGAACAAAAGTGGTAAGAGTGGACATCCTTGTCTTGCTCCTGACCTTCGAGGAAAAGCTTTTAGCTTTTCACCAGAGTATGATGCTAGCTGTGGGTTTTTCCTATATGGACTTTGTTATGTTAAGCTATGTTCCCTTTAAGCCCACTCTGTTGGGAGTTTTAATCATGAATAGATGCTCAATTTTGTCAAATGCTTTTTTGCATCTAATGAGATGATCATATGATTTTTGTCCTTCATTTTGTTAATTTGATATATCACATTGATTGATTAGCAGATATTGAACCATCCTTGTATTCCAGTATAAACCACACTTGATTGTGGTGAATGATGCTTTTAATGTGTTGTTGAATTTGGTTTCCTAATATTTTGTTGAAAATTTATGCATCTATGTTGGATATTGGTCTGTAATTTTTTTTCTAAATTTTTTAGTATCTTTATCTCATTTTGGTATCAGGGTTATGCTGGCCCCACAAAATGAATTTGAAAGCATTACTTCCTCTTCCATTTTTTGAAATAGTTTGGGAAGAATAGGTATTAACTCTTCTTTAAATGTTTGGTAGAATTCTTCTGTGAATCCCTCTAGTCCTGAACTTTTGTTTGTTGGAAGTTTTTGATTACTGATTCAATTTTGTCAATAGTAATCTGCCTCTTCAGATTTTTCTATTTATTCCTGATTCAGTCTTAGAAGATTGTATTTTTCTAGGAATTTATCCATTTCTTCTATTTCTCGGTGTATAATTTATTGGCATATAATTTTTCATAGTAGTTTCTTATGATCCTTTGTATTTCTGTGGTGTCAGTTGTAACTTCTCTTTCATTTCTGATTTGAGTCCTCTCTCTACTTTTCTTAATGAATCTGGCTAAAGGTTTATGAGTTGTTTAACTTTTCAGAGAACCAGCTCTTGGTTTCACTGATCTTTCCTATTGTTTTTTCAGTCATTATTTCATTTATTTCCTTTTCGATCTTTATTATTTCCTTCCTACTAACTTTGAGCTTCATTTATCCTTTTTCCAGTCTTTTAGATGTATGATTAGATTGTTTATGTGATATTTTTCTTCTTTCTTAGGTAGACCTGTATCACTATAAACTTCCCTTTTAGAAATGCATTTGCTGCATTCCAGACATTTTGCACTGCTATGTTTCCATTTTTATTTGTCTCCAGGTATTTTTTTTTTAATTTGCTCTTTGATTTTTTAGTTGACCCATTGGTTTTTTTAGTAGCATGCTATTTAGCCTCCATTTGTTTCCTTTTTTTACCTTGTAATTGATTTCTAGTTTCATATTGTGATCTTTTCTGATGTTTGATACAATTTCAATTCTCTTAAGTTTACTGATACAAGTTTGTGGCCTAACATGTGATCTATCTTAGGGAATGTCCATATGCACTTGAAAAAAATGTGTATTCTGCTGTTTTTGAATAGAATGTTCTGTACGTATCTGTTAAGTTCATCTGTTCTAATGTATTGTTCAAAGCCACTGTTTGCTTATTAATTTTCTGCCAGGATGATCTATCCATTGATGTAAATGGGATGTAAAGTCCCCTACTATTATTGTGTTACTGTTGCTTCTTTATGTCTGATATTTGCTTTATATATTTAGGTGCCTCTATGATGGGTGAATAAATATTTACGATTGTTGATAATTGTTTTTGTAGTTTTTCTCTCTTTTGCTCTTGCTCTATTGCCATGTGATTTGATGACTTTCTTTAGTGTAATGCTTGGATTCCTTTCTCTTTATTTTTTGTGTATCTATTAATAGGTTTTTGTTTTGTGGTTACTATGAGGTTCACATATAACATCCTATGTATATAGCAGTCTATATTAAGTCTGTGGTTGCTTAAATTCAAACACATTTTAAAATAAAAACATTTTTACTCCCCCTCCATGTTTTATATATATGTCATATTTTACATCTTTTTATTCTGTGTAATCCATAACTAATTTTTGTAGCTAGAATTTATTTCACTACTTTTGTGTTTTATCCTTCATCCTAGCTTTATTTGATTTTTACCAGTGAATTTTTTTTCCTTTCATAATTTTCTTATTTCTAGTTATGGCTTTTTCTTTTCCACATAAAAAAAAATCCCTTTAACATTTCTTGTGAATCTGGTTTAGTGGTGATGAACTCCTTTAATTTCTGTTTGTCTGGGAAACTCTTTATCTCTCCTCTGATTCTGAATGTTTATCTTGCAGGTAAATTACTCTTGGCTGTAGGCTTTTTTTTTTTTTTCCTTTCAGCTTTGAATATATCATGCCGCTGTCTTCTGGCCTGGAAAATTTCTGGTGAAAAATCAGGTTATAGCCTTATGGGATTTCCCCTGTACATAACTGCTTTCTTTTCTCTTGCTGCTTTTAAGATTTTCATGTTATCTTTAATTTTTGGCATTTTAATTATTATGTATCTTGGTGTAGACCTCCTCTGGTTCATCTTGTTTGGGGCTCTCTGTGACTCCTGGAACTGCTCCCTTTCACAGGTTGGTGAAGTTTTCAGCAATTATTTCGTGAAGTAAATTTTCTGCCCCTTCTTTTCCTTCTGGCGCCCCTGTAATACAAATGTTAGTACACTTGATGTACAGATGTCCCTTAACCTATTCTCATTTTTTTGAAAATTCCTTTTTCTTTTTGCTGTTCAACTTGGGTGCTTTCCACTATCCTGACCTCCAGATTGCTGATCTCTTCTTCTGCATCCTCTAATGTGCTGTTGATTCCCTCTAGTATATTTTTCAGTTCAGTTACTGTATTCTTTAGCTTTGATTAGTTCTTTTTTACATTTACTGTCTCTTCACTGAAGTTCTCATGAAGTTCATCCACTCTTCTTCCAAATCTGGTGAGCATCTTTATAAACATTACTCTCGTTTCTTCATCAGGTACCTTGCTTATCTGTTTTGTTTAGTTCTTTTTCTGATTTTTGTCTTGTTCTTTTGTTTGGAACATATTCCTGTGTCTTCTAATTTTATATGACTCTCTGTTTATTTCTATGCATTAGTTGGTCTGCTATATCTCATGGTCTTGAAAGTCATTGTCTTATGTAGAAGGCATCTTGTGAGGCTCAGTAGAGCAATGCCCCCATTCCCAGAACCAGGTGCTCCAGGGGTGTCCCTTGTGTGAGCAAGCAGTAGACAGAGAGTGTCAACATTGTCTCCTACCAGCATCCAACTAGCCAGACTGAAAAAGGGCAAGAAAAATGATGCCTGCCAGCACTTTCATTCCTGGAGAAAGCTTCTATAGATCCCTGCCCCTCCAGCACAAATCCCAAGATTAGTCAATCAATTTCCTTCCTACATGTCCAGGTACTTTTCAAACTTCTGTTTCTGTACTGGGTTCTGATTGAGTGATGTTGTATGCTGGCATTTTAAGAACAGAGTCTCTGTTTCCTAGAGCCTGGCTCTCCTGGAGTTAATTCCTGCTGATTTTCAAAGCCAGATGTTATGAAGGCTTGTCTTCCTGGTACAGGTTTCTATAACAGGGGGTGCCTCAGATGGGGCTTCACCCCCTCACTCCTTAGGAAGTCTCTCCATGCTTTTGAGATCCCTCCAGCCTGTAGTTGCCATGCTGGGGGTTTGCTTCCTACCACATCTCTACATCTCTACCCCTCCTACTTTTCTTGATATGGCTTCTCTATGTCTTTAGCTGTGGAATATCTGTTCTGCTAGTCTTCAGGTTGTTTTCAGGGTGAGTTGCATTATATGTCACTGTGGCCTCAGTATGTCTGTGGGAGGAGATGAGTTCAGGGTCCTCCTACTCTGCCATCTTTCCCTTCTCTTAATACTGAGCTTTATTATCTCACATTTTAACTTGAGAGCAAAGTAGTGTTTTATTCATTTTTATATCCCCAATGCTAAATATAGACACATAATAAATGTTTAATAAACATTTGTTCATTGAAAGGAAGTTAGCAAGAAAGAAGGCAGATATACAGTGTGAATCACCTTAACCTCCTCCCATCTATAACGGATGGCTTATTAGATCACTAGACTCAAAGGCTCACTTTATCTGTTCTTGTTCTCCAAACAATCTCTAAACAAATGGCATTTCCTATCTCTGAAATGTTTATAGTGCTGTTTCTAAAAGTCTCCCAGTTGAAAATCATTAATGAGTGGAACCTATTTTCTAAAGATTTCTAAACACAGCAGTGTAACTACTGACATGAGTGTGACCTTTCATGTTGGCCTAGTTTTTATTCATTATAATTTGTTTGTTCTCTTCAACTAGACTTTATAATCAGATTTTACAAAGCACATAGCATATTTTTCTTAAATGACATATTTTTTTTTTCAGGATTGGTGATAGAAAATCAGAAATTAAGATTCTAAGCATTGGCGGAGGTGCAGGTATGAATAACACATTTTTAAAATTTGTATTTCACTCCAAACATCATGCTGTTTGATGGCAATATTGTTCATTCTCTAAGATAACTATTTTTCTTTGTTCTTGGAAGAGATTGGCTTATTAAAACTGGTAAGAGTAGTATCAATTCAACTAAGATTAAGGGCCCCCATAGTTTTATAACACTTAAGACTTAAGCCTTCATTAGTATCTGAAATATGGATAAGATGTGGCTTTTTATTTATTTTTTTAAAGATTTTATTTATTTGACAGGGAGAGAGAGTGAGAGAGAGCGAGAGCACAAGCATGAGCAGGGGGAGCTGGAGAGGAAGAAGCAGGTTCCCCACTGAGCAGGGAGCCCAATGCAGAGCTCAGCCCCAGAACCCTGGAATAATGACCTGAGCTGAAGGCAGATGCTTAACTGACTGAGCCACCCAGGTGCCCCGATGTGGCTTTTTAATACTTTTTTATAAGTGGAAAAACACATAGAGTAACTTTAAGGATAACTTTTATCCAAAATCATTTAATTGTTCACAGTAAAGGAAAATTTCCTAAGATATCCCTTAAGTTTGTGCCACCCAAGTGTGGTCCATGGACTGCTTGCTGGTTTGCAAACTGTTAATGGTTGGAGGAGATAAGAAGCATCCACTGGCATGGAAATCAGTGCACAGTTCCCTTCATTGAGAAACTATAAATATGGTGGAAAATATGTTTAATGAAATAGTTAATTTATACTCTTGTGGCCCTACTCTTTGAGTTGCACTGGCCAAAACTGTTCCCTTCCTCTGATTCAGTTCCCAAACTGCCCTCCAACACACTCCCAAATCCACTTTTATAAGCACTTCATGGTCTCACTACTCTTAGAGCTGTGCTTGTATCCTAGGAGAAAATGGGAAATCTGAAAAGGCAGACTGATGTGGGTGTAGTTTCTGACTCTGCCATTAGAGTGTGAAAATGTGTGACCTTGGCTGGAATATAAGCTTCTGTTTGCTCATCAGTAAAATGGAAACAATGAATTATATATCATATTGTTGTAGTGAGAACTATATAGATAACATTTATATCATACTTAGCATATTGTTACTGCTCCTGTAAGGTACAGGCTGGTCCCTTCTTCAAAAATAAACAAAAAATTTCATCTGCAGACTTTACCTTATATCAAACTCCTGAGTAGTGTTTGATTTCTTTTTAAGTTGCTAATCACCTGGAGATCTGAGTTAGTATATTAATATGTAAAATATAATCATATATATTATTTATATACTCATACCTTTCTTTCTTTCATTATTTTCTTTTGATTAAGTGATAGCTTAGTATTGGTTACCTCCTGGTAACAAGTAGACACTACACTACAACTTGTTATATAGTGTCAAGTGGTAATCCCCTGGGTTTTTCAAGTATAAGTGCTCTAGTGACACATGAGTGAGTTAAATTGTGACCCATGTGAACACAAAGATAACTAAGAGCCCTCTAATGGAATAGAATCACTTGTTTTTAATGTAATCATTTGTTCATTTTTCATATAATATACTGTGATATGATGTAATAAGGGCTAACTATTTAAAATAATTTTTATTTATTATCATCTTCCACCAAAAAAAGAGAAACCAGCAAGGACAAATAATGAACGATATTGTCATGAACAATATTATAGAGATTGTTTAAGCAAAAATACCCTGTCATTGCTTACCGATATTCTAAGTCCTAAGGATTATAAAAGTAAATTCATTTAACCAAGACAGTCCTTACCAGTGAGTTTTGCATATGAGTTTCAGACACCCAACAGGTAATGAGACTATCATTTGATAGTGTCACTTGTGCTTGGACAAGAAGAGAAGCCCAGCAAGGAAAAGTAATTAAAACCAATCTCTATCATGGCCAAGTTAATTGACCTTTCAATATTAAGTTAATTGAATTTCTAATGTAAATTTATCCAGATGCTTATAAGCTATCTAGAGAAAGGAACATTTGGCCTGCACAGTGATTCCTTACATAAAGGTGCACATAGGAGCTAATATAGAGAACTTATCAAAACAAAGGAAGCAACACTTGGAATTTTTCTGACTGAGCTCTAACACTGTATTAATAACAGGCTTTGCCTTGGGTAGAATATGGGTGCCCTTTAAGGTTACTATAAGAAGAACTCCAAGGGAAATTCAAGCTATAGATATTTAGCATCCTCTGCTCAAGTAAATAAGCAATATGAAATAAAAATTGATTTATTTAAAATTCCTAGGTCCACATGTTTCTGGCATGAAAAAGCAGTGCTTTATAGCACTTAGTTAAAGTGCTCACATACCGACTGGGACATGTTTATCTGATAACATGTCATTGCCTAATTGCAAGCACTGGGTAGAAGAACAATATATTATTATACAATGAGGAACTTCCTATCTTTTAGAGAAATGGTCTCCCCACATGTTCTACAATCTATAGCATACCTGAGAGTTTTGCATTATCCTGTGACTTCAGTATCCTTTCAACTCAGTCACTGAACTCCAATCCATGGCAAACAAGGCCATTGGCCCTGTCTAGTACTTGTGCTCAACTCCTATAATGTATCTTACAAGGTTCTACTTCCTTCTTAGCTTATAGACCTCTCTGGTTTCACTGTGTAAATGTTCTCTTCCTGGTTGCCCAGATACCTGCAGATCATTTTCTGCATATCTTTAGTGCAAATATTTTCTTGGCATTCATATTGGTGCTACCACTTCTCCCCACTACAATGAAAAAACAAATAAAAGCAAAGAAACTAAAAACCTCTCTAAATGAAATTGCTGCTTTTATCACTTAATGCTCATATTCTTTGTCAGCTTATTTTTTTTTTCTTTTCAGAAACATGAGCAGGGGGTTACCTATACACACTTTCTGTCTTCTGCTTCTCTTCTGTAGAGGTTGGTGATTGTGTGGAGAGATTCCACTATTTAAGAGAGAATGTAAAGTTTTTGAAACGGATGTTTGGAAATTCAGTTCAGAAGCTGAGCAATTATTAGGGCTCTGAGCAGTTCAAAAGAGAGGAAACTCATGGCAAACTTTTTAATGTCATCTTTAATCTACCACATCAATAAAATACAATTGATAAATAGCACTGCTTTCCATAGATTATATGTTTAATGTTAGGAAAATGTATGAAATAAATATATGAACCCAAAAATTAAGGAGAGGAAATCAAGAGAAAAATATCATGTAGCTTTTATAGAGCCCAAATTGGGAAGTGTAAAGTTGTGTTGTGTACATTGCATGTGTTTGTGCTTTAATGAAACACAAAGCAACTGGAATTGCTTTTATTCAAGGTCTTGAAGTACCCATACCATGTTCATTTCAGCAGTTGTTCTTAGATATTGAGAACAATTGCATTGTATTCTAAGTGTCATAGAATATGCTTCTTGGTTCATCCTCAATGCTGATGCTTGAGCCACCCAATGGGGTGTCATTATTATTTGATTTTTAATGAATATCGTCTTTATGCTAGAAAGTACATAAAGAAAAAAAACATATTCTTTTTGGTAAAGGAGAATGCTAATAATTTACACTGCATGCATTTATGCCTGGAAAAATATTCCAGAAGGCAGTAATGAGCAATGTGTTCTCCTTGCTGTGGGCTCTGTTTAAAGGGGAACCTGCTGTACTGTTCAGTTCTTATGTTCAAATGCCAGAGAGTTTTATAAGGATTAGACAAGACGACAACTCAAATAATCTCATTTTATCCAGCTTTCTACTTCTATTTTTATTAACCTTTTGTGTACTGACTCAATTGCCATAACATATATAATGGTATATATGTTTACTGAAAATTTTTTAAGATTTATTTATTTTAGAGAGAGAGAGAGTGGGGGGAAGTGTAGAGGCAGAGAGAAAAATCCTCAAGCAGACTCCTTGCTAAGCACAGAGCCCCACACAAAGCTCGATCCCAGGACCCTGAGATCATGAACTGAGCCAAAATCGAGTCAGATGCTTAACCAACTGAGCCACCCAGATGCCCCTATAGATGATATTTAGTCAACTGAAGCAACTCACATATGAAATACAGGTAGTATGAATCCTCTCATGACATCTTTTTGGTAATAATTTTGCTGACATATGTTAAGAGCAATTAGGTGGTTTTCTTGTTCTGCAACACATAGACATCGGCATTCCTGCTGAGATTAAAAAATAGAAAAGCATTTAGAAACCATCTCATTTTACAGATAAGAAGCCTGAGAACCACCAAGGCAGAAGAAAAGCCAGGTCTCTTGACTTCAGTCCAGTTCAACAGACTGTATGAAACAAATATAAAAGTTAATTATTGACTTGGAAAAGGAGATATTAGGTACTTAGTAGTAACCAGCTATTTGAAAATCTAATCTTTTAGATTATTAATTCTGTCTCTGTTCATAACAACATGTTAAGGTGACACAGAAGTTTTATTTTCTAAGCTAGTTGGATAGAAGTGAAGCAAGTGTAATTAGGGCAGTAACAGAAAGAGCCAGTGTGTCAATTTTGAGCATAAAGACGATATTCATTAAAAATCAAATAATAATGACACCCCATTGGGTGGCTCAAGCATCAGTATTGAGGATGAACCAAGAAGCATATTCTATGACACTTAGAATACAATGCAATTGTTCTCAATATCTAATTTTAGAAGCCAGGAGGTGGTAGGAAGCAAAGGTTAATGTTTTTCAGTAGTCTAGAGTAAGCCAACAGTTTATATCAGCAAATTGGGAATGACTGGGGAAATACAGAGAATTAGGGGATTTTGGCGGGGGAGAGCAGAAAAAAATAAAAATTGAATGTGCTTATTCCCATCTTCAGATATTTCCTGTTGATCAAACTACAGAATATTTACCCCTAAAGAACGAATGGTTGTAAGAGAGAAAGATTTCTTGAGTCAGTATTACAATTTACTGATCAAACTTGTCCAGAAATGAAAGCACACATCTTGAGAGATAAGGTGTTATCTGTGACTCTAGGAGTAAGCATAGGCTTGAAAAGTACTTTTCAGCCATGCTGTGGAAAGGACTTA